CACAAATCTATGTTCAGATAAAATAAAAAATATTAACCTTAGCTGGTAATTTGGTCATCAAGGTTCTAATAAGATAAAATGAAAACGTCCATGTAACATTAGCTGCTGAATTGGGCCAATACACACATTTCTTATAAAAAAAAAAAAAAAAAAAATGAAGCCATTTCAGCAACTTTAGCTGCTGAGCTCGGTCTCCAATGATCTAATGTCAAGGGAAAGGGAAAAAGTGACAGTAACATTAGCTGCTAGTTCTGGCCATCACAAATTTATTATTGATGTAAACTGAAACAGTGAAAGTGAGTTTACCTGCCAGTGTTTCCTTTAAAGAAAACAAGGTAAAAACGTAAAAATGACAGTATACTGATTGCAAAATGAATGCACCTTAGAAAACATCAGTAACTTTAGCTGCTACATTGGCCATTAATCATAACAGCTAAGTAAAACATGATATTTTCAATAACCTTAGTTGCTAACATTGGCCACAACAGATCTAATATAATTATAAAATGACAGCATAATGACAAAATAAATCCACCTTGGAAAAATGTCAGTAACCTTAGCTGCTAAATTGGCCATTAATCATAATAGCTAAGTAAAACATGATATTTTCAATAACCTTAGCTGCTAACTATGGCCACTACAAATTTATTATTTGAATAAAATGAAATAAAAAAAAAAACAATTAACATTAACTTGTAATGTGGTCATCAATGTTGTTAGCAAAAGGTAATTAAATTAACTTCTTAGTTTAGCCATTAAACATTGGCTTAACATTTGGTCTACACAGATATGAGTAATTAAAAACTGATTGTAACATTAGCTGCTAACTTTGGGCACCATAATATGGCCATCACAAATTTAATGAAAATTAAACAGTAGGTTACATAAGATGAAATAAAACAAAAAATCTGAGTTACATTAGCTGCTATAGGTTTCAATAAGTTCAATATCTTTAGCTGGTAACAAGGTGTGTTACCAAGCAGAAATACATTCCATTAGGCATTTTATGACCACCATAGATCCCACCTGCACAGACAGCTTTCTCTTTCAGCTGAGCAAGAACAACTGCTTATATAGTCCCTTTGTGTACTGAACAATTAGCATGCCACAAAAAAACAAAATAAAAAAAACAAACCAACGGGCCCAAATAAACCATGTTGCTATGCCTATCAAGGGAAACTCCACAAAAACCACAAATTACCCCACTAGTGGCCCACACAATCACTGGTGATAGTTCCCCCCTGCATGCCTGGACTGAACTCCCCAGACTGAAACAGCAACTAAACAACCAACTCAACTTCCTATCCAAAATGCATCTTCCAAACACAAGTTGTGCCGAATGTACTATACATCTCAGCAAAAACCTGTGCACCTTCAAACAAAACCCTACATAAATCAAAACTCCAAACCACAGCCACAAATAAATCAAATTTGGCTGGACGAGCCCCCACTTGTCACAAACCGGGCCGCACAGCCATGACAAAAAGAGGGAGATGCACACAAACAAGCCAATTAACAAATGTTTTATTTAAAAAAAAACAGACAATAACTCTAGAAGAAGAACCTAAATTAACAATGGTATGTGTAATCTGTAAGATCAACAGTGTAAGTGAGTGCATGAGTGAAAAAGTGTGTGAATGCAATGTTGTATGGTGCAGCAACAAACAACACAAACCAAATACCAACCAAACCAAACAGGTGCCTCAAGGAGGAGAGAGAACCAGAACTGAGCTCCAGCATGGTTTTAAAAGCACTAGCACACAGGGCCCAGGTGTGCCTGATCTGCTGATGAGCCCAGGCTCTGACAACCCTTTGCCTCACCCACCTCTAGTACCTGTAAAGGAAGCAGCCACACACAGGAAGCAACAGGTACACAGGTGGAGAGGGTTGTCACATGATCCAAATCAGAGAACCACCCCCACACTCATGTTATAACCTGTGACATCATTGATGACATCAGCAAGAGCATAAAACAGGGAAGTGTTTGGCTGACACTCCCTTTTGAACTGCTGGAGTCCATGGTGAGTGTGGAGGATAAAAGTGTTTAGATTAAAGCATTGAAGTGTAGTAGAACTCTATCTGTTAAATGTATGAAGACTACAGTTAGCTGCTAATATTACTGGCATTATTTAAAAAACTAAATGCTAGCCTTGTAATGTCCAAACTTAAGAACTTTAGCAGTTAATGCTAGCCCTATAATTTCCAAAATTTAAAATTTTAAGGGTAACATTAGCTGCCCACTTTAGAAGGCTAGAGCTGTTTACTTTTGGACATTTCACAGCTAGCTAATACACTTGTCTGCATTGTTATTTTTTGATTTGATTTTAATGTGGTATGGAAAATTCATGTGACAATGAAAAAAATATACAGTGATCAAAGACAGAAAGTCAAATCACATTCATTTAACATGTTGTACATAGGGTACATAAAAAAAACACATCTAGCAATGTGTTGTATTTAACTTTATTTTAGGCATTTCAAAAACCTCAAAACCATGAAAACCATCCCCAGAACAAAAAAGTATCTATGGTATACAGAAAGTGTGTCCACATATTTTTGGCCATTTAGTGTATTTAACTTTTTTCAGAGGTTTTGTTAATTACCTTAATGTCTGTGTTTGTGATTTGCGTAACTGAAAACCAAGAGTTTAGAGTTTAAAAAGAGAATGGGTTAAGTCATCTTAAACTCTCTTTTCACAATATAAATACACAAGTTATTTCACAGCCAGGTGAACAAACAGAAACGCATGCAATGTAAGCACGCTGTCACAATTCTAACAACTACAACACCCAGCAGCCTCTGCAGGCTTCGTGCAGAATACATCCATGGTGCAGAGTCGGTAGTGACTTGAGGATAGTGTCTGTCAGGATGCGGCCGCATGTGTTGACAGTTTTCCTTCTAATTTTTATCTGTTGGTTCGTCTCCTCTTTTGTATTTTCACATCAGAGACACCGAGGAGAAACGTTTCAGAGAAGAAATCCCGGAGGAGGCGGTGCTAATTGAGTACAACAACAACCTCAGGTAACTTTATCGAAGTTAACTTTAGCTCGGTTTATGACTTCCTGATTATTCACATCAGATTTAGGTCCAAGTGAAAATGTTCTTTTGAAATTTCGCTAAATCACCGACAAATTGTGCTGGGTGGCGGGCATCAGGTTTGATAACCATTTGCCTTAAATGTTTTATGCTGAATGGCAGCTGATAATCAGGCGATTGATTGGCGTAACCTCAGTGAACATGCTGACAAATTAAATGTCTTTTTGGACTGAGAAAGCTGCTGTGAAAAGGCAAACAATATCCAAAATACTTGATTCTACTTTTAAACAATCCTTCTCTTTACTTACTATATATAATTCACTAAATTATTTTACATAGTCCCATGAACTGCAGCAGTAAAACTATCAAGCATAAAATGTCCTCACAATTCAGTGAATTAAATGCTAAAACTGTAATTATTTACTTTTGATAACTGATGTAAATATTTAATACAAATATAATATCTGTAAATTAAAAAAAAATGCAGTGGTTGTTGAGAAGCATACTGCCAGAGAAAGAGGGAAAAGAGATAACTGAAATAAAAATAAAATGTTAAGGAAATCAGAGTAACACAGTATCAGCTGACCTACCTGTAGCATTTGAGCCATTTTTGGATTCAGTTTCCAATCTTTACCCCAGTATCCTCATACGTCTCCTCTGCTTACCTCTGCCTCTTTCCTGTCTCTCTTTACTCAGTCTATCTCCATCTTAGTTCCAAACATATGTCCTTCAAACAGCCTAAGTAAAATTGGCAAACAAATTCAATCCTCATGAATTTAAAAACTTGGCATTCATGGGTACAACTTTGGGTATTCATTGTCAGTCACTTTACCATCAAATAAATAATGATCACTTAAGGTCCTGCCAACTCTGCTTCCCCCATCTATCTTCAAGACTGGAGAAACCTTCACACCCACCACCGAGGAGTCCCACAGATCATTTATTGACATGCAGCCTGTAAGTTTTGCTTAAGTTTTTCAACTTCAACAAGGGTTAACGGTTGAATCTGGCTTTTTTCACTCTTGGACCCATCTTTGCTTTCATGGTTTCATTCTTTCTTTCTTAGTTCAGAGTTCTCATTCTTGGTTTAATTTTATCATTTATGGGTTTGGTATCACATTCATGTTTTTTTTTTTTTGCTTTCAAACATTCTGGCCCTGGAATCATTCCTGGCAAGAGTCCAACTAGGCCGGTTGAATGAATGACTGATTGGTAAATTAATACACCTGAACCTGAAACTGTACAGGGTATAACAGTGATTTTTGCATTACCCTGCTGTTCTGTAATTACAGGTTTAAGTTAAGCTTTGCACCTTAAGATCTTTGCCTGTCCATTTGAATAACATGAACGGCCTTTGCTCTCAATGAATCACTATTAAACTGATGTCCTGGATTAATGGTCCTATTAGCGCACTCCAGTGGACGAGAAGCGACAGTGACATGCACAGCGAGATACACAGCGGTTCTCACTTCTGCCAATTAGACCCTGGTTTCTACAGGCGGTAAGTAACTGTGTGTGTGTGTGTGTGTGTGTGTGTGTGTGTGTGTGTGTGTCTGTCGCATAATTACAGCACATTCCAATTTTATATTGCTGAGAAGGAAACAATACAAATGTTACAAACGTCTAAGTCATTTTACGTCGGCAGATTCGTTTGTAAAATGTGCAAATACTTTAGATAATTTAAAGTCGATCAGGAATATTATACCCGTATTTTTATACAGATACTAAGTAATAAAACTAATTACTGAGAAGCAAAACTACACGGATAAGAATAAAACTTGCTTCATGGTTTCAGAGCGGCTTTTAAACTCCACATTTCATCCCAACCAGGGCGTCGTTCCCTCCCCCTCCCTCTTCTCCTCCTCCTCTTCCTCCTCCTCCAGAGAGCCGCCCCGCTGACCGTAGCTCCTCGTGACGCTCCGGACTGGAGCCATAGTGTACGCACACCGGCCACATGCGCCCTCACACCGGGTCCCTGCCCTCCGTTCAGCGGTAGCAGAGGGCTTGTTTTCCCGCACGCTGTTGAGTACTACTAATGGAAACCTCGGCGTTTCTGCCATTTCGTGTGTGTGTGCAGCAGTCCTCCCCAGCTGAACAGCCGAGAGTAAACCAGGACGCTGCTGGAGCGCTCAGCCGCGGATCCGGACACCATCATCATGAAGTTTGCGGTCCTCCTCCTCCTGTGGATGTCCTGCCCGCTGTCCCTCGCCAACATCGCCGGTAAGAAAACATCTTAAAAAAATATATCTGATTTGTACTTCCAATACAGTTTGGTTTCTTTTGGGAGAACAAAGCGACAAGATCACATCAGACAGGCCATGTGGTGCGACGTCCGATAAAGATTCAAATCAACTCCGCACACCCTCTGATGACCTCCTCAGACAAAAACTACCACCTGCTCGTTCATTGCTTATCCAAAAGTGGCTTTTTACTCTTGCGGAAATTTCTTACAGCATCCGTGTTTACTTCCCCATGTCTCTTTCCTGTGCGTTATTGCTCCATAAAATCAGAAGGCGTGGGCTGTTTCCTCTCAACTCTTTTATTGCTTGATGTATAATTGTAATGACAAGAATTAACTAGAAATACATCATTTGGAACAAAAAAAAGTAATCAGATGTAGTGTATAGAATCAGTTATTTCACTACACCGCATTCTTACATCCACCAGATGAGATTTAAACCAGTTTTCCAGTATATAAGTTCAACAGTAATGTGTTATGACCCAGCTCTTATTCTGCTGAATGTGATTGGTCGTCAGACAAACAGGAACTCAGGTGTCGGATATCATTGTCCAGCTCTCTGTGCACCTCACTGAGTCCTTGAAAGTGCAGGCAGAGGTGATCCAGTGGGATTAAACTGCCCACTAACGGGGTGGTTTTATGATTGCTTGGCGAATAATTTATTCACCACAGATGATGTCAGACAGATGGGAAGCCAGTGCAGAAACCAGCTGCAGGTTAAAGGTCCACACTGTCCCTCACCACACACTTTAGCTCTTGAACTTGATGTCCCCAGTGTCTAACTTGATAGCTCTCTGTTGTCAATATGACTGTCGCTGTCCCTTCGGAGACATCATATCGCCTCAGGCTGACTGCCCAGCTTCTGGACACAGTTATATTATCTCTGTCCCCTCCCCTTTCATTTGTAACTCTCTGCCAAGCAGCATCAGGCTCTCCTCATCCTCTCTTATATCTAAAATACCTGCCTCTATACACAGCTGGATGACTGAAGCTCTGAATTCTGTGATATGCCAGGGAGAGTCATACTGGATATCTTCATATGGGTTAAGATTATCTGGATTTTGGAACAACAGAACTTGTATTATCTGTTTGCCTTTGTTTTACATATGCATGTACTTGTTATACCTATTCTCTTGTGTTTATAATGAAACACAAGAATGGAAAGTTTCAAATGAGACAATTGGCTAAAAATCGTTAATGCTAATTTTCACCCAGCTAAACAAACTATACAGTTTACAAGCCTGAGGTAACTGTCTTACTTTTTAAACACATTTTCTCAGTTGTCTCTCACATGTCCCAGAAGACCTGTGCTAGAGTAGTAATCTGTAAACAGTCAAACCAATGACAATCTCATTTATGCTCTTGGGCCAGACTCTGAATTAGTGGCCAAACACAATTTATAACATCAAACAATGGTCAATGAGCTGAGTTGAAAGAGTACCAGAGGGGCTGTTAGTTGATTTACTCAAGATTGCTATAAGATTAACATTACATGTGAGAAATATAAAACACTAAACCACAGAGGTACTTATTCACATATAGCCCCTGTTAAAAGGCCAGTGCGGCAAACTGAGTGCATCAATTTCACTACAACAATGGTCTAACAACAAAGTTACTGGTGCTATCCTAAGTTGTAACCGTCTTTGTGAGAAAGCATGTGAACTACACTTTAGTTTCTATGTATGCTGCTACCAACACAACTCCACAGTTACTCTTAAATTGTGCCTTTCAAAAAGAAGCTCAGTACAGAATTCTCCTACGATCAACTTAAGTGACAGTAGCGTTACTAATGTTTTCAAGAAAATACATGATGAATGCAGTCATTTACATTAGTTAGCAGGTTTAGTTTCTGGCGGAAAACAGACATTGTTGCATTAGCACAAAGCAATCTAACAGTGGATGGTTGTTAATCCACATTCCTCCTTCTTATTGCAGCTCCAAATGAGTTTGTATCTTTGGCAGAGATGGAGGATGCCCTGCTGAAGAACCTTTTCCAAGGCTACCAGCGCTGGGTCAGACCAATCCAGCGTGCCAACGACACTGTTAAAGTACGCTTTGGACTCAAGATCTCCCAGCTGGTTGATGTGGTGAGGATGAATGCAGAAACACACACATATCTATCCATGTCTGTCTTCATGAGGATATTGTATTGGACATTGCCTTCATTCATTACCAACCCGTTACTCTAACAGTACCTATACAACTAAGCCTTTAACCCTTATCCTAACTCTAAACCAAACCCTAACAATGTCTCCAAAACCACTGACCCCACAAGTGGATCCATCATTACAAAGATATATTGAGTTTTCCACAAAACCCTCAAACTTCAGTTGTTAATTCAAGCTGCTGCCAGAAATGGCCTAAGCTGTTTTAGGAAATCATTTAGCCCTGTCAAACACTTTTGTTTAAAACATAAATATATTGAGTATATATATTCACCACTCATTTTTGCTGATTTATGTCTTCATTAGGAATGAATGGGACTGAGAGCCATAGGCATAGTGGTGAAGTTGGTATTTAAGTATTGACAGATGGATGAATGCATTGAGTTGAACAAAAATATAGAATATTGCCAGTCTTATCCTATAACTGCTAAAGCAGTTGGTAAACGTGAACTAGCCATATCAAGATGCGAGGACTTAAGAAAAAACATCTTACTCAGAAGAGAAAAAGTTAACAAACATGAAAATAGGACAAGAAGAAAAAGTATTAATTCTAAACTAAGAACAAAAGTTAGATGTGGTTATTTTCTTTCAGCAGTGTCTCTGTCCATGGTGCTGAAACCAAACAGCTGCTGCGTCAGTGTGGAGCTTTCCATGGTCCTGAAATAGATCTAGAACACTCTCTTCATATCTACAACCACACAGTCTTTCTCTCTGTGGAGTGTTCCTTAAATATTTCAGAGGCTTGCTTTGATAGGTTGAGATGGTTTAGGTGTTCAAGAGGAGAAAACGGCGAATGCTAATGGAGGAACCACTCCTCTTGGCTTGAAATATTCATCTCAAACAGTTTAGATTGAACTCTTCATCCTTCCACCTGATACGTGCCGGGAGAAGACAGTCAGGGATGAATAATAAAAAAAAAAACAAAAAACAAAAAAAAAAAAAGCCCTTTGTGATTCTGCAGAGAGGAAAGATCCATCTTGATGATCTGTTCAATTTTGGAATGGAGAGAGAGAAAGAGAGCTAACCAGACATACAGCAGCTTGGCTACACTGTCCCCTGAGTCTTTCTGGGCTGCTGCATGTTTCTGTATTAGATTATGGTTCACCTCTGCTTTATGTGATCACCAAAATATCCAACTCACTCTGACAGCTGAGGCCGGGTCTGGATACATTGAACAACTAGACTGGCACTTAGTAGAGCGCGTACCTCCACCAAAGCCAAACCGTTTCTTCCACCAGATCCAGATTATTATCTGGATTTGCCCTATATTGCACAAACTCATAGATCTAAAGACCATAAATATGTCTTATTTTTTAGATCAAGATCCACACATTATTTTTCTGATAAACTGACAAAAATGTTGACAAATGTCTCACAATGTTAAGGAAAGTGAGAAAAAAAAATTCCTGGATCTTCCCCTCCGAGTGGATCAGTACCAAAATTGATTGGTTTCTTCCCTGCCCCATACCCCATCCTTCCACCAAGTTTGGGTTTGCTGCAAATCAGTATAGTACTTTTTGCATAATGCTCCTGACAAACATAGCTACATATTTGAATATGTCCCTTTCACTTTTGCCTGGTTTATTTCTCTCAAGTTTCTTCTTCTCAGTCTGTTCTACATCTCAAACTTTGATGTGGAAACAAGCCTGTGCTAGTTGCTCTCCATATCTCTCTTCCTGTTCTCCCTGTCTTACTCTATTTAACTCTTGCTGTATTTATATTGCCTCAGCTTGGTCCACTGCACCCACCTCTGGTTTCATGTTTCTTTTTCTTGTTTGCTGAGGAAGTGGCAGAGACAGTTAAATGAGATTCTGTCTGATTTCACAAAAAAGGAAAGGATGATTTAGTTTACTTTCAACCAAGCTTCTCATCTAGTCCACTAATCACATCTGATCCTTTCAGAAATGATGCGTGCTGTAAACAAGTTACATCACATCCATCCCTAACCATGCATGATCTTCCTCTTTCTTGCTTTTTGAATGTATTAATGTGAACAAAAATAACAATTTCAATTTAGGTAATCTTGGCCTACTAATAACCGCACTTTTATTATCTACATCAATCTACTTGAACCCAAGTGGGAAATATTGGAGCTTAGGAAAAAAAAAAGTAAATTGTTGACTGGTAATTGCCATTAGGTAACAGTGTTGCATAGCCATTTTTACTTGATATTTACAAATATTACTGAACCTTTTACAGCATCAGATAGAAATACAAATGACTTACAATTGTGGTCCATTTACTTGGTCCACCCTTGGTTTTTAATTTTGGTTATATTTGAACCCTTTTGTTTGCATTTTGATCATTATATGTGTCATTAACCTGCACACATTAATCTTTCTTTTTGTTTTTTTCTGTTGTCTCTGTATTTAGGATGAGAAAAACCAGCTCATGACAACTAATGTTTGGCTTTGTCAGGTAAGCAAGATGTAAAAATAAACTGAGTCTTCATGGTTATGTTAAATCTATGTTCTAAATCTAAAACATTAATATTTGTTCAGCTGAGAAAAGAGCATTTTTTTCACATTCTCAAGTTTTACTTTCATCTAATGCAAGATTAGATAAAGGCAGGTCTTGGTCAATACAAAAAGAATAACAGTGAGAAGTACAGTGGCAAAATGAATCGTCTGTTTTCATCCTGATAAAGTCGAACTAAAAATGACTATTTTTAAGTATTTTATATAGGTCTAATGATACAGCATCCTGTTTCTATTTACCAGGAGTGGATCGATTACAAACTCAGATGGAATCCAGAGAAATATGGAGGAATCACCTCCATCAGAGTTCCTTCTGAAAATATCTGGCTCCCAGACATCGTCCTCTATGAGAAGTAAGACTTCAGTTTCAAATGATTTAAATGTTAACACATGATATCTGGAGAAGTATTCATTATTTTAACAGTATGAAAAATACGGCAACAAAATTAAGTAGTAAATGTTGTTTATATATTGTTTTTCATTCATATTTAATCTTCAAATTGTAGCCAAAATCTACACATTTCTAACACTTGTCTACTCCATTAACTTTCAGGTTTTTCAAATTGTTAGTTATTGTAGCAATTAATATTATTAATGAATAAAAGAAGAAATGTGTATATAACCTTTTTTTAAATGTCAAAGTGCTTTGAATGCAGATAAAATTAAACCACAAAAGATCAACATAACCAATAGAAATAGAATCAACGGATAGAGATTCTGTAAATGTGATTCTGATGGAAAGACAGATTTTCTTTACTTTTGCTCCATGTTTCTTCAGTGCTGATGGGCGGTTTGAGGGGTCCCTGATGACCAAAGCCATTGTCAAGTTCAACGGTACCATCACCTGGACACCACCTGCAAGTTACAAGTCCGCCTGCACCATGGACGTCACCTTCTTCCCTTTTGACCGCCAGAACTGCTCCATGAAGTTTGGCTCCTGGACCTATGATGGCAACATGGTGGACCTGGTTCTGATGGACGACCAGGTCGATCGGAAGGACTTCTTTGATAATGGTGAATGGGAAATCCTGAGTGCCACTGGTGCCAGAGGGAACCGGAAGGACGGCTTGTATTCATACCCCTTCATTACGTATTCCTTCATTCTGAAGAGGCTACCGCTGTTCTACACACTCTTCCTCATCATCCCTTGTTTGGGTTTGTCCTTTCTGACTGTCTTGGTGTTTTACCTCCCCTCAGATGAGGGAGAGAAGTTGTCACTTTCTACCTCTGTCCTTGTGTCGCTGACTGTGTTCCTCCTGGTCATAGAGGAGATCATCCCCTCCTCCTCCAAGGTGATCCCGCTCATTGGAGAATACCTGCTCTTCATCATGATATTTGTCACACTCTCAATCATCGTCACTGTCTTCGTCATCAACGTCCACCACCGCTCCTCAGCCACCTACCACCCCATGTCGCCATGGGTTCGTAATCTCTTCCTCCAGAAACTGCCAAGGTTGCTCTGCATGCGTGGACACATTGACCGTTACCACTACCCAGAGCTGGCTCCTGAAAGCCCCGAGCTGAAGCCTCGCTCTGGAGGTCGGAAAGGAGGGCAGAAGAGTGGAGCCCACGGACAGGCGACTTCTGAGGGTAAGGAGGACGAAGCCTGGGCGACCATGTTGGAGAAGGCCATCTATTCAGTACGGTACATCAGCAGACACATCCGCAAGGAGCACTTCATCCACGAGGTGTGTGTGTGTGTAGCATCAATCAAGAAAGTAATCATCAGATTAGCTCTTAGGGATTAATATTTAACTGTCATACCATTTCTAATTTCCTCTTTTTCCAGGTGGTACAAGACTGGAAGTTTGTGGCCCAGGTATTAGACAGGATCTTCCTGTGGGCTTTCCTCACTGCCTCAGTACTGGGCACCATCCTCATCTTTACTCCAGCTCTGCAGAAGTTCATGAAAATCCCTCCTCAAACTGCAACTGAGGATCCACCTTCAAACTAGAGGCAATAACACACCCACTTTCACGGGCAACTGATGATCCACCTTCACAAATATGTAAAACATTTCTTACCACAGAGCAAGAAGCTCCTACAGGTGCTTTATAAAGGTGAACTTTGACTCTTTGACTTTCATTTAGCTATCTTCATTTAGTTCTCTTCTCTAGATCCACTGAATAAAATGTTTTGTATGCCATTAAGTCAGTATGTGTACAATTCTATTTGATTTTACTATAATGCCATAATGTTGTTTATAGAAAAATGAAACAAACGTAGAGAAACTTGCAGTTGAGCCTGTTTATTGCCAGTCATAAAATTTCAAATTCTTCATAGTGGCTTTAAGTAGCATGCAGTTGTTAGTACGCTAGAATACACATCCCGATCATAATAGAAAACTATTTAAGATGAAACTAAATGAAACTTTAAAAATGTGTAAAAAGGAGTAAAATAACCCAGACAACTTCATTCAGCATTAAGTTAAACTATAAAAACATACTCCAAATTATATTATTGGATTGATTAATGTACTGATGATTTAATACTGTTGATTTCCTTATTGATTAGTCTTTCTAATTGACATTGCCTTTGACTTTGGTGTATGTGGTGGATTTATTTTCTTTAATTGTCTCACCTGGCTGCAAAATAAATTTCCTGTCTGGGATGGTACAGTTTTTAAAAAAAAAAAAAAAAAAAAAAAAAAAAAAAAACCCATTAAGAACTATCTAAACTTTCCGTTTTGACTTATTACCTCAATAATATTTTCACATTATACATAACTATTCTGGCACAATAATAAGATCACATACCTGAAGCACAAAATACCTCTTACTGTAACTCCGTTTTAGTAGCGCATTGTAATAAAAGCTAATTGATTTAATTTCTCAAGGTGCCAACAACATTTGAACTGTTAAACACTCATTAGATGTTGTACATGTTTGCAAAATCTTATAAGACATTAAAAAATTTTAAGGAAATGAAGACATTAGGTGATTGATCAGAGCTCTAATTTGGGATATTGTGTCTGAACGCCTTGTACTTTTCTGTTAAATACCTTGTCTGTCTCATCTTCCTCAAATACAAAATGTGCTATAATTTGGTCACTGCTGGTAAGAGAATTAATTTCAAGTTACATAATCTAAAGTGTAATGAATGAAAACGTTGACATTTCTCTAATTTACACAATCAAAAGTACAATATTTGTATTGCTCAGATATAGTTTATCACACTAAAGTTGTTTTGAATACACAGTTTCTTTGTGATACAGTTACAATTATTTACTGTATATTCATGAAAAGTACTGTAAATGGATATACAGTATATGTTAGGAATATCCACAGATGGCAGCACCACCCAGTGGCAAACCACAAATATGTCCTTTTTTAAACAGAACACACAAACAGAAAACAACACTTAGGATTCCCTTTCCCCTCAAAGACCTTTATGAAATAAAGTTTCTTCTCTGAAAACTGAGTCCACTTTCCTTTTTGTCAGAGCCCACGATTGAACCAGCAAAAGCGCAACAAGCAAAATTTGTTGAGGATGGATATGAAATATAAGAAAGAAAAAACTTGAATTTTTTTGCAGCTATTAAAAAAACAAAAAAACACAGTTGCACAGTTTCATTTGCCTTGATTTAAAACTTTTATTGAATAAAATGTTTGATTGCAGGTAATATACTAGAGAACATTTTCATAAAACACAAAAAATATGAATATATAAAACATATAAATCTTACACAACTGCAGCATCTAACCATTATAAAAATATATCCGTGAAAGATTATGAACATATAAATCCAAAACCTCTACATTTCCATTTTTACTCCCTGGTATAATGCTGGTTTGATATTAAGGATACTCTTTACTCATTGTTGGATTTTACATGTGTTCAGTTTATTTTATCTCTGGAAAAGGAGCCTTGATACTTGGATTGGTGTTTGTTTAAAGAATGCAGTACAGTAGTACAGTACATGTAGTTTTTTAACTGTAACTATTTCACTATTGTAATGTGCTCTTAGTAGAGATACAGTATAGATTGTAGTAATTATCATGTTCTCAGTTTTCCTCTTCTTCATTTTCTGTGCTGACCTGTCTGGCTGTCCAGGTGAGCTCTTGCATTCCGCAGCATCTCCATATACAACCTGTTGTTTTCACTGCAACATAGGCAGATGATAGAAAGATAAAGAAAAAAGAAAAATACTAAGTATTAGTGACATAATTTTAAAGAAGTGCACAGGAATTGATATCGTATACAGTAATTAAAAGCAAGTTGTATGTTTTTAGGCTCAATATTTAAAGTTGCACTGCTCAATATGGACACACATAGCAGCTTCAGATGGCTTCAAATGGCAGCACACTTTGAAAAAGAATAAGTTGCCTTTGCAAATATTGCCCTCAGTGGACAAAATTGAACAGTTCAGGGTAGGTAGGTAGGTAGGTAGGTAGGTGTTAAAGATGGAAGAATATAGCACTAAAACTGCACTTCACAACAAAATAAAACACATTTAAACTAGTTTAAACTCCCTGGCACATGCTTTGCTGCTGATTATCTCACTCACGTAGCAACAGACCGGTCAAACATCAGGTTACTCATGTCCATGTAGTACTGAGCATCTGTTCGAATGGCCGTCCAGTACTCGTTAGCCTGGAAGGATGAAAGATGCTTTGTCACAGAAATGCTCCAGTTGGCTTATTCTATGTTGTTTTCACACCACACAGCACAGTCACCTGTTCTTGAATGGTGTAACCCCACTGGTTCTGAGAGTGGTGTGGATCCCAGTATCCTGACTGTCTCTTCAGCCTGATGAATCGCTTCGCTTCCTCCTCTTTCATGAATGGGGCGGCAAAAACCCCTAAAACACATTGTTAACAGCATATAACTATTTTTAAAAAAAACTCAACAAAACACCATAAACACAAAGTGATTCTCCACGTTGAAGACAATAAATTACACGTAATGGAGTTTACATTTTTACATAATTTACATTTTTGAACATTAAATCATCCTGAGAATGTCAAACTTACCACTCAAAAGAGCAAACAGGATCACAGCCTTCATGTCTGTAAAATATTAAAGTACATTAAGAAGACAGGAATGTTAAATGTACCACAATTCACAGAAATACATTCATAGCTGCATGTAATTGTTTTTCGATTTCCTCTCAAAGATGTACGATAAAGTTATCCAAAATTAGAAGAAATGTGAGATTTACCTGCAGTGTGAGCAGTGAGCTGTTGATCTGTTAAATGTCTGAGTGTCTTCAGAGCTCGGAATCTCTCAGCTGAATGTGAAAGTGAACAAGAGTTTCTTTCATAAGATGTTTTACCAGGAACCAGAGAGGGATGAATGGAGTCAAGCATGAGGCCGGTCACTCAAGGTAGCTACTTATGTGGGTGCCAGAGCTCTGACAGACTTTCCAAACAAACACACACACACACACACACACACACACACAAACTGCTGGTCAGGCTGTGAGATTCAACATGAAGATGGCGCCGTCTGGACGGTACACAAACTCACACTCCAGGTTTTAGCAAACCTAATTCTCAGTTTTTCTTCCAGTAAACATTTCTCTTGACTGGTTTTATTCATGACATCAATAAGGTGTCTGAAAGATCAAGTTTAGTGTGCCATATGTGCAAACAATTATATATTTTGCCACATTGTTTTTCTTTATATTCCTATTATTGTTGACTCTCATTGTTGAAAATTGTTTTAATTTTATTTCAGAAAGTTGTGCATGAAGTTGTTGTTGTGATGCCGGCCTTGCTTTATATTTTTCAAACAATTTAATTCTGTCGTGAACCTGTGGGAAACCATACCCACTATAACATATTGTAAATTGTATTATTCATGCTTTATGGTCATGGAAGCATTATAGTACGTGTAAGTGTAAGTGTTATTAATATGCAATCATTTTGTGTACATCAACATTACTTCCACTGGGTGGGGACCTAACCTCAGTTTTCACTAATAGACAGTTCACAGTTTCTGAACAAGGCATTTACCTAATGTGTGTCGTAGACGGGGAAAATGTGTTTTTCAAAATTTATTGGAAGCTGTGTCAGTGGATTAAAGCCTGGTTTTTGAGTCCAGAAAGGCTTACTCAGACCTGAAAAATTTCAAAGCAGGTCCCAAGAGAATTAATTTGGAGTGTCTTCTTTTTAAGGTGCTGCATTACATCAGGAGATTTCCTGTGAATTTCTTTATGTGATGTAATATTTACAGTGTCGCTCGAACATTAATGAAGCCACAGGAAAATGACCGTCTAACAGGCGAAGTGAGGGTTAATGCACAGGCACAATGACAGAATAAAAACACATTAATAATTTACTCATTTTCTATTTATGCACCAAGGCATGTCTAAGTACTGTATGTGAATATAAATGTGTGACAGTGTTTCTTTGCATGTAATTGTATGAAGATGTAACTTTTCTTTGATCACACATTATCCTCCCACGCATCACACAACTCTCCGTATAACTTTTTACTGTGTTTTGTTTGTTTCCCAGACTGTGCCTCTCCCTCACTGCTGACCTTATCCACAGTAAACTCCTAAGTGTGTGTGAGAGGTCTGACCTTTTTTGACATCCCATAATAAACTGAGTCGCCACCTGTGCAGTGTAACAGAGACAAATGGCTGGCTGGCAGCAGGACAACAGAGGACGAGCTGCTTCAGGACGACCATGATGCACTTCATCAAGTGGACACACACACACCTAAAAACATGTATTAGGTCGCACAAAAAACTCATATTAGATATAAAAACATAATTGGAAAAAACTTGTCACATGCACATATTAATGAGAAGATCCCAAATGACAATTATGAATGCACATTTGCAAACACAGACACATAACACGCACACTCTCATGCGTAAACAGAAATGCCGCCTAGCAAATACATGTACACATAAACACACACACCTTGGTTAGCTCTGGGACCCGTGTGCTCTCCGTCACAGCAAAAGCTATTTTGCGTCTTCCACACATCAAAGGTAGCGACAGACAAAAACTAAAACTCATCTGACCCCATTCTATCACACACACACACACACACATGCACACATATGCACCCTGCTGGGACCGAGAGAATAATTCAAATATTTCATTTAGAAACAGGGAAAAGATGTTTAACAAAATATGGGATTGAAACTTTAATACACAGCTTTGAACTGTGTGTGTCGACTGAGATAAGGAAACATCTGTCATCGTCATCATCATCATCATCATCATCATCATCATCATCATCATCATCATCATCATCATCATCATCGCTGACTTTATCAGTTTTAGCTTTTGTTTGTATTGTGATGTTCTCATACATCCAGATATGAGTGGAACAATGTAGCGCTGTCTCTGTTGTCAGTAATTATGTGTTCGCTAGGATGGTTTTAAATTGAAGAAAATAAAGAGAACAAAGAGACGAGGGAAAGAAGCAATGGTACCTCCACAACATTTGAGTCCATTAGCAGAACACCTCTCATTTATAAAAGATAGAGAATTAACAGCTCCCTCTGGGCTCCCTCTGCACTCTTTTCTGCGCTTGGTCTTTCTTCTCCGCTATTGTTCATATCAGTGGATCAGTGCATTTAAAAATGTCAAATCATGATGCAGATTTCCTCCCTGTCAGTACTGAGAGGTTCAAACTCTGCAGGAAAAAGCTCAACAGCTCATGACTTTTAAACATCTACAAGTATCATACTTTCTCTCAGATCTTTGATGTTTATAGCAGCTGGGTGCCAATCCCCTACGGTGTTGCTGAGAAGTGTCTTTGCTCTGTTGTTTTACCTGATAATTATCAAATGTGTTTTTAAAAGAATTGAGTGCTGAGTTTTAAGTAAATCTCTGTTTCTTTTTGATGATGTTTGGCTTAAAAAGCTCAGAGTCCCAGCAGTTAACACACACTGCTGATGGCGAGTTTCTGCCTCTTCAGGAGAGGGATGGGGTTTTCTGTTGTTTGTTGTGTGTGTGTTTGTGCAGTCTGTGAGACAGCATGTGTTAGTAAGTGTTTTCAACCCCTCCCCCCCAAGAGGCAAAATAAGAAAGCACAAAAGGAGGCAACACATGGGGAGAAAAAAATATATTTATGATGCAGATAGAGAGAATCACTGTGTAAACACACACAAAAAATGTTATATATATGGTATACTGCAGATGTACATCCTATAGGAGTTACCATATAATGCAAAAAAAACAAAACAATAAACGTGATCCATCTTCAGACTTTACATCTGATGCTATAATACTTTTGTTTTTCAAAGCCTTTTTGTCAGTTTTGAAATTGATTTGACATTGTTGTCTTTTGTCATAAACTACAAAACAAATCTGTCACTTCTAGCTGCAAGATCAGATTCAAAGATCAAAGTTTAGAATATTGACTTCATTGTTCGTGATCATAAGATGGCTTTTGTCATGTACTGATGTTTGATTTCAGCATCAGTTTAACGTTTTTGAGCAGTATTTTTTTATGTTCTCTGGTGGGTATGTCACGTGAAATTATGCAGAGGGAAAAAGACAAGAATTCTGGTTTTCCGCATGTTATTGTCCTGCTGCTATATACTTGTATTTCTGCTGGTGATTTGAGCAGAACGGCTTTCATTAAACCTCAATAAAGTCACACCAAATTTTTAGCTTTTAGTTGACAGGTGGCCTAGTGCAGTTGTTTTCAGAATTGGGTCCCTGGCAAAATCAGGATTAGTTTAATGTCACTGCCTTTTCGCTGACTACAAGTTTGCCCAGTGAGAGCAAGTAGAAGGATGAAGGTTGTGATCAGAGGTTTCACTGAGCCCACTGTGGCTGTCGGCCCACCTACAGCACAGACAGATATGGGATCACATCTAACAGCATAAAGCTTCTCTGATGGAGCTCCATGAGATGCAGACACGTGGAGTATGAAAAATAGCAAGAGCTGGTCGAATACCACTGGCACAGGACTGCTTCTTACATGATACGCCCCTCTTGCATTAAGAAGAGTGGGAGAGAGAGAGAGAGAGAGAGAGCGAGAGAGAGAATGGGAGCCAGGCGGTGAAAACATTTGGAGAAATGTGCAGTGTTCCCCCCAATCGCCTGTCGGATCCTATTTCAAACTGAAATTATTTATGGACTGGAATAAATAGGTCATTTGATTATGAGCCTGGCTGGCACAAAAAGGGGACAAATACGGCAAAAATGCAGTTGATGAACCTCTTTGTAACTCAGAGAAGTGGGAAATTGCAGTGTGACACATTACATTCATAAATGACAGTCCACAGCTGTGGGAGAAGGAAAGCTGGGTGGTGATCTGTGTCTACTTTATACGCCAGGCCTGGTCCTGTCCAGCACAGAGAAAAACAAGTGACATGATGAGTGTCTTTCTTGTACTTTTACAGTGACTCAATGGCACTGTCTTCCAGCATTGATTGATTTTTTGGCCACTTGTGGGGCAGCCCAACAAGCTGTAAAAACAACACTGACATATTATCAATTTATGAAGTTGATATGGTCAATGTGTTAGCAAACAATTACTTATTTACGCATACAGCAGACGTGGAGCAGTTTTTGCTTTAATTTAGAGAAGTGTCTTTGTCTACATGATGAATGTATGTCCAATATTCATTCTCCCTCTAGCTCTGTTTTGGTGTAAAAGCTCCACCACTAGTTCACCAGCGAGTCGCTAATTTTGTCTGTTTGCTGTTTAGTGCTGAGCTGGTAGTGTACTGTGGGTTTAACAGAGATTTTGAGCTGAACAACGCTGATTAGAGCAGTAATAGATAACCAACATAGCAAAATTGTGCCTGTAAAGCCAAAACAATGAGTTGGAAAACACTAAGAGCTCAGGGAACTGCAGAGAGTCACAAGCGAACCCTTTCACATTATACATAGAAATTTGAGCCTTGTGATAAAAAGATATTGATCAGAACAGTTTTACGAAATAAACATAGTGATTTTTAAGGGGTAAATAAACAGTGAGTCACTTAAGAGAGAAGACTCCTGCTGCACTGCTTTGATGGGCTTCAAAAGATCCAAGAATGTCACTATCTGGCCACGCAGTAATTTTTATATTCCAGTTTCCCATCAGCTGTTAAAAGAATTCTTGGCATTTCGGGAAGCTTATTCATTTTCCTTAAGCGAATTAGATGAGAAGGTCAACACCACTCTTTTGAAGCTACAGTAAGTAGCTGGTTAGCTTGGACTAAGCTCACTAATTAACACATTATATCTTGTTTCTTTGCTCTGTACAAAAACAGAAGTGTAAAAACAGCCATTGGCCACTTAATTCAGGGTTATATGCCAGACAATTTCTTGCCGGAGTGCAGTGACCATAAAACCACAACTTGCTGTTATACTCTTGGATTTTTGTACAAAATAAACAAACAAGATATAATGTGGTAATTAGTGAGCTGCTGGAAGGCATTATTTTAACCTTTGGACAGAGCTGAGGTAACTTTTCGCCATTTTCAGTCTTAATGCTAAGCTATGCTAACTTTGTGCAGAAATGACAGTGGGATCAATAATGCTGATAATTTACGTTTATTTATGAATACATTCATAATTCATGATTATTCATCAAAAGATACACTGGGGCCTGTGAAGACCCAACAAAGTCACAAGGTCTGCAGTATCTAAATGTGGCTAACAACATAAAGGCCACACACACACACACACACACACACACACACACACACACACACACTTTGTCTACGTCACAGACTCTCGCTGCTGCATGTTCCTGCAGGTGAGCACAATTTGGGCACATCACAGACAGAATTATGAAGTTTATAGAGCTTAATGAGACACTATCCTAATCCTATCCTTGTTTAAAAATAATTAAACAAAAATATTATAAATTTAAGGAATTAAATTAATTTAATTAATTTGGGAAATCTAATACAAGTTAAAGTTTTAATAAATTCACAACGGAACACTCTCCAACAACTCTCTATGACGAGGTGACCTTATCTGTCGGATATGATCTGAAATGTTACTGTAGTGAGCGTCACAGCTCGGTTTACCTGTGAAGAGCCAGATTTCAGGACATTTCAAACTCGGACGCGCGCCCCCGTGCAGCGGCGCTGCGCTGTGTTTGTGAGGGGATGTGTTTCTGAAGCAGCGTGAACGCGCTAATCTGAACTCCATACTCATTCTGGTCTGTCAGTCTTTTTATCTCACACAGTGTGTCTCCCTCCTCTTTGTCTCCTCCTCCAGCCTCATGTTCACACCACCGCCGAGCCGGAGCAGTTTACCTGTGTAGCCGACACTGAGAGTCGGGGGGCCGGCGGAGTCCACTGAGCGGTGCCAGGATGCGGTGCCACAAGTTTTGGGGACCATGTTCGCTCGGGTTTTACATTTGGACGGCCATGCTCTTCAAAGGTAGGTTTATGGAAAAGTCGCTCTTTAGCCTTATTAAGTTTTTTTTCCCTTGTATGTTTTTAGATACTTCTTCAGTGAGTGCACGGGTCTGTTTGGATGAATGAAGGCTATGAGAAGACTGAAAAAACGCTACTTTGAGCTTGAATCAGCCTTCATCTGTTATTCCTAAAGGGACTAATAAGTCTAGGTGTGGTCTTTGTAGGAAGCATCTTTTTCTAATATCTGGGCAACTTGTTCTTTGCATTAGAACGTACTGGCAATTAGTTTAGAGGCAATTTAGGCTGCTTTAAACTGAAACCTAGTTGCTTTTTATAGTGGGAAGACAGAGATGGAACTTTTAATATTTCATTTTAAGTTACTAAGCCAACAAGAGCCCCTGAAGGACTGAATCACTGTTATTTTTTTTTAACATTCAGCAAATGTTATATTGAATGACACTGGCTTCTGAATCTTTAAATGACAAACATCAATCAGGAAAACAAAAATCACTTCTTTCTGTACTCTGAATGTGTTTTCAACAGTTTTGTTTCCTTAAATGGGTGATTTAATATACTAAGAGGCATTTTTAAACACTGTTTGCATGTCTGTGTGCATTTATGTGTTTGTGCATGATGTGTGTTGTGTGCAGCATTAATGTTTGCACGTTCGTGTGCAATGAGATATGCATGCATGGCTCTAATTCTCTCCTAAGTCCCATCCCATCATCATCATCAGTAGCATCAGCATCTATAACATCTGGGATGTTTACTTACCCGTTTGTGACACAGCGGCTTTGCTGAAGATATCCCTTCAAACTTTCTATGTATGCATGTGTGCGTGTGCGTGTGTGCGTGTGCGTGTGCGTGTGTTTGTGTGTGCGTGCATGTTCATGTGTCCACCATCAAACCTGCCAAGCTTCCACTGCCCTCACCTCTCCATACCGATCCAGTCAGTGGTCATCTTGTGGGTGAGAATGGGGGTGAGAGGATGAGCTTTAATGACTGAAATAAATACCGAAGGGAGAGATAAAGAGGATGGATTACATGCTGACCCATGACAGGAGGCAGCCACAGTCTTTCATGGACAGTGTTGCTGTCTCATGGTGGGACAGTGTTGGTGTTTAGTGTCAAAGTTGTGGCAGCACTGTTGAAGACATACATCATGTTATTTAGCACTGAATCTTAAAATCATAAGGCTTTTGTTTTTTTTTCTCTTAAACAATTCCAAAAAATCTGCCAACAAGGTGAGAAAGTTTCAGTCTTTGCAAAGTCTTTTTTTAATTATTTGCTGCAGTTTTTTAATGTTGAGGTTGACTTTTAGTGATGTGTGCAGTATGTGAATATGATATAGATATGGATCTGTCTATGGATTTCTTTATAATTTTGTACCATGGCATGTTACATTTGACTTCTGGAATGAGAACAGATGCTCACGAGGCTTTGAACATGGGGATTAAAGAAGCAGCTAGCTGCTTGTAGGCCTAGTATGTGCACATTCACTGTACAATTGATAAGCCGCTTTAGTCTGTCAAGGGAAACACAAGACAATAGCCAAAACAGGAGATATAGGACGATTTAGCTTCCTTGAAACTGAAGCATGATTTTGTAGCAATTTGTTCTCCATGCCTCCAGACACAATGGATTGACAGATGATGGAGTATGAAATTATTTTCCTGACCCCTCACAGAGAATCAGAGATTGGTAAGAGTGAAGTTGCCTGACACAGATGCTGCGGTAATATCTGCTTGATGTCAAAGCAGCGCCTCATCTCTCTCGATGTCTTCGTCTGTCTCTTTCGTTTCATCTCTTCCTCTCTCGCAGACTCTTTCACGGTCTGCCTGCTTCTAATTTTTTTCCATATTCAGCAATGCTTTACACTTTCCCAGACTCTGCGCTCTTTAATCATGAAGTTTATGTAGATCGGGCTGTTTATGCCCTTGTTCAGCATTTCAGTCATGCGTGAAGGTCTTGTAAGTGCTGCTGTTCGTTTAATGACAACACGAAAACAGTCAACAAGTTGTTCTGCCATCCAGTTATCTCAAAAGTTTAAAACTGTGGGTCTGTATATGGACGCCTTAAACCAGCATAACAGTATGGATGTGATAGCTAGCAGCACAGGTCTTAACTCCTGGATTAGGATTAAACGTCCAGTGGTTTTAGGGCTCTGAGCCCTCAACCATAGATTATAAATCTCTTCTATATGAATCCATCCATCCAAAACACCATTAACACACAAGACCATATGCTCTGATCCCTGCTCACCACCGTTGTCACACGATGCTGGAAATAATGTGTTAATGGATGGATCCATGGCTCCTTATTTGCTTTCAGCATTGCACACACAAAATGGTAATGAGCATGTGTATAGTACATGCACATGGAAACCCGTTTACCTGTAGAGAAACACAGAAAAGACAGAGTCATACAGAGTAATGGCACATGTCAGCTACAGAAAGTGGTTGAAGGTGGAAATCGATCTTTTTCGGCATTAGTTCATCCTGTGGTCTCCTCCTCTACTGTCCCTCATCTGTCTCTGTTTCACCCTCCCTTCTATCTGCCTGACGCCCCCCTTTTTCCCTCATTACAGATTTTATATATTACATCTTGTCAGTGACATGCTGCCCTTCTCATATACATTTTTGTCTAGTGTCTGCAGGTGTCAGAGGCCGCCCTACAATAAGCCCTTTCTTGCAACTTTTGCATTGCCATCTGGAATTGTAATGAAGACAACATTAGCAACAGCTAATGATAATGAAAGCTGTGAGTCTATAGATGCGCATTATATGATAAAAGGCACAGAATAATTAAACATTTAGTGACATAATTGATATTTTAATATGTGTATGAACCTGACTAACTGCAAGTGCAAAAGCTGAAGTGAACTAACTAAAAACTGACAATACAGCCAATCTCATTTTCATGATGTAATAAAAATACAACCAATAAGTCAGAGCGCTTACATTCTTACTTCATAACTCTGCTTTCCTAAAATCTCACAAAATGTAAAACCTCTGTTTGCGGTTTACTCTCAGATCAAAGCTAAGCATAAATAGAAACCCATACAAAGTTATGAAACGTAACCATTGTACTCTTTTTTTAATGGGTTTAGAGAATTTCCCAGGCTTTTTAAGGACCCTTGATGCCCTGGTTTTACCGTAGCGTCACTTCATTTTCACCGTCATCCAGCTCTAATTCCCTTTTTTTCTGTTTCCTACTTTCTTGTGCCTCCTGTTATCAAATCATCATCTCTTATTCCTCTGACTCTCTCTCTCTCTCTCTCTCTCCTTTTCCTCTCCCTGTCTCGCTGCCTGTGGTTGGGTAATAGGCTAGCCACCTGGGTTAAGATGTAGGTTTAAAGATGCGGAACATCTGGATACTTCACTGCTGACCTCCCCCGTCTCATTCCTCTACCAAATGATTGATAGTGAAATAATGAGGTGCTAGACCATTGCCAAAGTAGATGTGAGCTTAATTTAAATCAATGCATACAGCAAACCTTTGTGGAGGCTGCACACACATGTACTTGGACATAACAAATCACGATGACAATAGTGGAGCCAATGCAAGTATCCTCTTTAGTCTCCTGTCATTTGGAGGATGCTTGTTTCCCACAAGCATGAATATAAGACTTAAATTAACTCTTATACCAACACATGCAATCACAGACATTGGCACACAATTTGTTGCAGCCAGGACCCTATTATTTCTTCACCTTGGGGTGCTTTTCTTACAGACAGTTGAATAACAATCGTCAAGGTCGGCCATATTCTAAAAGAGAGTAGATGGCTTCTGTTAAGGAGGGCGCCCATTCACTGGTTTGGGAAAGGAAATGTTTGGCAGGGACTCGTTGGCACACCTATGTAATTTTCGTCCAGTCTTCTACAGCAGCTGGATCTGTAAAAAACTAGCTTGATATCTGCAAGACGCATTGCTGATTGTGCCATTCTGGCCAGTGGAGTTTCAGCAGTGTCAGTATGTGATTTACCTGAGTGTTTCCAAGTTTTATCTGCTGCAAATTTTAATTCAACCATTCGGTGTCTGTCTCAGTGATATTTATTTTTTTACTATTCACCCAGACACACACACTAACACAAGATATTTGCATCAGAAAGACTGTGGATGTGTAGCATTTGCCGTGGTGTTGACTGTCCTGGCCCTCAGGGAGTGGCGGCCTGTCAGCGGTTTCTTTGTGCAGGCCTGTTCCCCCTCCAGGTTCATAACTCTGGTCCCGAAGTCCCAGAGCATTCTGGGATCAGAGCCCTGTTATGTTCCAGACTGGATAATAGACTTGGCTTTTTGTTTCAATTGTTGAGATTTAGCAAGCATGTTTACCACAGTGTGAAATAAGATTACTGTAAGTAATGAGGGGTTGGTTTCACAATAGTATGATTTTGATGTCAGCATTTCATTTACTTTTTAATGGACAAGCCTCGAAAGAAAAAACTTGCGTGTACGTTAATGTTGAGCTTAACTAGGGCGGGAGGCGCCTGGACAAAAGATCATACAACAATCTTTTTGGGTCGGATCACAATCCATGATCTTAAACACGATCTGCATCCTGTTAACGCTCTGATTTTATCGTGATAGTCCTGACTGTAAGTTGTGATTCATGTCTTTCTATCGCTTTCGTGATTCTTTCGGATGTTTGTCTGCTCGCTTCTCCCACAACGCTGTCTTCTGTTTTCAAATTGTGTCACATCCCATCATACTTTTTGCTTAGCTCATATGGAGGATTCATTTGGACAGCGCTGTTATTTATTTAGGAAGTGCTATATGTAAGTGTTTTGAATTGAAAGTTTAGTCGCTTCTAACCAGCTAGCACTGGCTCATCCTGCTCAGTGCTTCCCTGCTGCAGCGGGCTAGCAGATTAACAGTTCACAGTGGGTGGTAGCGTTTGAACTTTAAACATTCAATGTTTAAATGATGCAATCTATATGATTCATTTGAAAAGTAGATCAAATGCTGAACTAAGATCGTCCACTCTAAAGCTAAATTGAAGTCAAATGATGTGAATATTTTTTT